CCAAGACCGAAGGCACCGCGGCGGGAGTCGCGCCCTCTGCTGGAGGCCTCCGGTGCGGCCCCTCCGCTCGGCTCCAATCGGGTTGCTTGCTGAGTTGAGCCGGGTGTCCGTCGCAATCCGTTAATGCCCTCCACTGGCGGCTTACACTTTCCCTTTTCCATCTACTGTTCTCAACCTATGCCAGGTTTTCTGACTGCGAGGAATGTGCCCTTGCCGCCTCCAACTCTGCCCAGACCAGACTTCAGAGTCACTTCCTATAAGGGGCTTTCTTGCAATCTAGCTTTCACTGGAAAGGAATTCATGCTTGTTTGCATCCTAACGCGCTTCACTTCCTTTCAGCACAAGGCTCCTTGACATAGCTGGTTTACCTGGCAGCTTCCTTGCACCAATGCCAAATTGTGCAAGGAGGGCAGGATCTGTGACTAATTTCGGTGATCTCTTTTCGTACCTTCCAACTGTGCATACAAATTCTGATGAACATCATTTTCCTTGGGGGCAAGAGGCTACGGTTGACATCAGATTTGAGTTAAGAACAAACCAGCTGGCGTGGTCGTGCATGCCTGTAATCCCACCAAGCGGAAGGCTGAGGTAGGAGCATCTCCCCGAGTAAGAGGCCAGCCTCAACTACGTAGCTAGACCTGTCTAATAAAACAATCCCACTGTCTCCCAGGATACACAGAATATATAAGGTACCGAGAAGTATGGCTTAGCAAATTAGTGGCAACGATGAGACCAATACTTAATAGTTTCTAAACAGCTTTCTGTGAATAACGGAAAGGAGACCCAACAAAGCAGCCACACATTGTCAGGTACAAGATTCATTTTTATGGATTTGATAGTCGAGTGCAAATTTCACCATTAAATACAAGAGCTGATGTTTAGTTATGCCTGAATTAAGACCACACTCAAAAACACAACATAAACCTACATCAACTTTTTTCTCGTTTTTTTTTTCTGCAAATTAAGTCTTTTCAAATACAGTACAATAAAGTTCTTGTTTCCCCCACAAGTGCAGCATTTATTTATATATCCAAGCAACAACATCTTAGATGCATGGCCACAGTTTCAGGTGGCTCAGTTGCTTGGATTTACATCACAGTAAATAATCAGCTTTACACACAAAGCAAAAACATGCTGCCATTTGGGCGTCCCTTCAGCTACCAGAGCAGCAGCCTTAAGGATTTTCCCCAAAGCCCTGGTGTTCACAGCCTCCCCCAGGAATGAAGTGAGTGTTACTCCAAGTGTCCCACACTCCAACCTACTGGCACTAAAGACAGACACCCAGGACAGGCATGCAGAGCTGCCTGGGGTGCACCTACTCAGTCCTGGGAGCTGGTGATTCACAGATAAGAGATTTCTGAGGTCAGAAAAGACGTATCACACCATCAGAGATTTTACCAACTGAAAAAGAACAGCTCAAGATGGTACTGCAATATCACTGTGAAATATTTAACCTCCAATATGAAAGTTTAAATTTATACTAACCCCTGAAGCTTAATAAAATAACCACTTATTTATCTCATTGTAGTAATATGTGGAGTCAGAATGGTTTTCCCATCTGATTTAATCCCTGAGGCTATGTTAAAAATCAACTTTTCAAAAAGCCCAATAAAAAACTACTGTAGTAAAATTCTACAATGTTACAGTGATAAATATATTTCTATAAACATTAAAGCTACTTAGAAGCTGCTTACCTTCTTTACTGCTCAGAGAAGACTATACATTTCTAAAAACTGTCCAGGTTTTGAAACTGGACATAAATTTCTCCAAGTTAAATTTTCCTTGACCTAGAGAACACCTTTAGCTAATTTGTTGAGGAACATATGAGGAAACTTACTAACTACTGAGGAACAGATTGTCAACTCCCATTTTTTTTAATCAGGATGATGAATGTTCTATTAAAAATACAAAATTTTATTTTACCGAGTCAGGCCACATATCTTCGCCTCCTACTATGAATGAGAAAAATACCCAAAGGGGGAGCACCTTTCTGGAGAACTTTTCAGACAGCAATGGTAAAGAATGAACTGACCTGTGAAGAACCAGTTAAATAATTCCATATGATAAGGTATACAGGATCTGTCACATCCATTTGGCCTAGTTGTAATCATTTCTAACAGAAATAAATCATAAGTGACCAGACAACTCTAAACGCTGGCAAAAAATGTAGCTGCTCAAGACCTGGTGCTTATGAAGACTGACTCAGACTTACAAAACTAGGCTGATGAGACCCACCATGGAGGTGCACATCAGGTTATGATTTCTAAAGAACTTGCTGGACCCTAAATGAAGACCATCAAGACCAACCATTGTATTTTTTTTCTTTTTCTTTTTCTTTTTTTGAGACAGCCTAACTATGTGGCTCATTCTGGCCTGGAACCCACTAAGTAGTCCAGGCTGGCCTAGAACTCATGGTGATCTTCCCGCCTTACCCTTTAGAATGCTGGGATTATAGGTGTGTCACCACAACCAGTTTCCATGTTTTTTTTAAAACAGTCTCACTATGAAATTCAAACTAGATTTGAACTCACAGTCCTGCCACAGCATTTGGAGTACAGGGATTACAGGCATGTTCCACCATCCCTGACTTCATTTATAACTACACAAAATAAGCATAATAATAGGGCTAAATCTTACTTCATCTAATCCTAACACTCTGAGGAAAGACTGTTTACTTTTGATAACTAACTAACTAAGAAGAACCTTTAGTGTATTTTCCCAACAGAAAGAGGCAATAGGAGGGCTGGGGATTTAGCTTAGTGCTTCCACTGCCTGCCTTGCATGTGCAAGGTCCTGAGTTTGATCCCCAGTACCACAAAAAGCAAAAAAGAAGAATCAGAAGTGCCTGGCGTAGTTAGGAAATAGTAAATCCAAACTGTCCCTGAGGATCTATGGAGGCGAAAAGACTAGAAAATTAGTAAGAGCCAGGATAAAGTTTAATGGTGGCAAGATTTAGCTCAGTGGTGCTGTGCCCACCTGGCAAGCACCAAGTCCTGATTTCCATCCCTGGTACAGGGAGGTGGGGTGGAGACAAGCTGTCGGGGAAGAGATGAGCCAGTGCTCTTGAATTTTCACTGATCATCATCTCTTTCCTCTCTCCATCATCAGCTCTTGCCAGTAGCCCTGCCCAAAGGGAGACAGCGGAAATCACAAAAGCATGAAATCACCCCACATGCACATTTGTTCCTCAGTGCCCAGTTAAAGAAAAAATGACAACTGGTTTTGGAGGAGGCCATCATGTGGAAAGGACGGTTTCCCAGGTCTGTACCTGATATGATTCAGAAGGTACAAATCAACCTTAACCCAGGAAACTACATTTCTGAAAGCATTGATGGAATCTTGCACAATAGAGGCACCAAGGACCAAGAGACTCCTTTACTGGTCTCTGCTTGGAGACAAACAGCTGTCCACAGCCTACACATGAGGTTCAATAGGAGAGGACATACCAGGGGCGAGACAACAGCACCTCCCTCCTGAAATGTCTACAAGTTAATGTCTCATGTTTTCTATTTTAAAGCTTCATACAGGTAGACATTAAAATAGAATCGAGGGGCTAGGGGTGTGGCACAGTGGAGGAGCACCTGCCAGACACACAAGATCCTGGGTTCAATCCCAGCACCACCACCACAAAAAAAGAGTAAAGTAGAATCAAGAGCAACATTTAAGTTCTGAAACTTTCTATGGTCCCTTCTAGAAAATCTCCTTTAGTCATATGAACTCAGGAGATCATGGTAGTACTTCATCCACATTATTACCTAGAAAACAATGACATTACACATGACTCACAATTCACCTTCTATCTGTCCTACGCCAGGCAAAGCTGATTACTGGCCATTCATTTTCTTTAGACTCCCAATGCTACAGTTACCCCCTATTTGGCAGATGAGAAAAAGGAGGCTCAGAAATTAACTAAGTTACTCAAAGTCACCCAGTAAGAACCAAAAGCACAACTCTAAAGTTTCCAAGGTATAAATAATATGTACACATCTACACAGTTCAGTCTGAGGAGTTTAAGTAAAGATGTTTTCAAGCTCCTGGACGTCACCACATTCAGCTGCAGGGACACTTGTAGCTTCTCTAGATGCTGACCTGGCAGTCAAGCCCCAGGCACCAGCCATCTGGCAGCTCCCTGAGGTGGCTCAGCTTCTGGCGGTTCTTAGCTTCCTCCGGAAGTACTCTGGGGCAGCCTCATACAGCCACTCAGCGTCCACCACGCAGAGGTCCCGCATGTAGCACTTATTGGTGTAGAGCAGCTCAGTGTACACAACGCAGGCTGGCTTGCAGTGGAAGAGGACAGATGACGGATGGATGGCTACTGGCTGGTGGGTGTCCGTAGTGGCATAGGTACCATCGGGCTGCAGCTCAGCAGTGCTCATGAAGAGGCTATGAGCCAGGCAGCGGCGGATGCTGTCCACGTCTCCTCGCGATGACAAAATTGGCATTGACATCTGCTTCGGGAGAAAGTGAGACATGGGAAAAACCCCAAACATAAACACTGCTCAGCACTACATCGTGTGTTCGAGCAAGTGGAGCAGAAATGCCAGCCTGACAGAGTGGGTTCGACATTCAGAGGCAGTTACCTCATTACCTCAGGTGTCAGCGTGGGTGGGGGATGAAGGCACAATGGGCAGGATGAGCCAGGAAAACATCTGACTGCAGGGAGACATCTGCCCAAGCTAGCAGACTACAGACAGGCTGCGTCACGCACACCCTCACCTGAATATCCATCCTTGGAAGAAAAACCCTTCCCCTCTCACTGTGACCACTGCTTTATTTCCTTGTATACTGTAACAAAAATTAATCTTCCTAAAGCACAACTCCAATCATTCACCCTCTCAAGACCTTCAATGTCTCTGCTACTCTTGGTAAAACAATGCAAACTTCCCAAGGTGAAGCCATGAATGCGCCACTGTGAGTGAGCCCACTCTGCCTGTTTTTTTCCCACCTGTTTTCTGCAGGCGGCCTTTGGTCCTCCATAATCAAGCGCCTTTTCTTCTCTA